TATGATTTGAAATATATTCAGAATAATAAAAATTAAAACATCTTTATATTTAAAAATATATATTAAAAAATAATTACTAGTTTATATTATAAAATATTAATAAAAAATTATTTTAAAATATTATAATTTTTAAATTATTTTGAACAGTCTGTTCCGATTCAGTGATATTAAATCTGAGCTAGAACTGTTCATTTCCAATGAGTTACACGTTCGAATTTCACGAAATTTTTTTTTCTCTTCCTCCAATTAATCTTGTAAATAATTACAAATTGTTCAAAAAAAAATAAAATTATTTTAATTAATTTTATAATATTTTATTAAAATATAATATAATTTTAAAATATTTTTATTTAATTTTTTACAATATAAGCTAATAACTACTAATTTTAATATATATATATAAATAATTTTACAGACTATTCTAACGTTATAATTATCAACGCTTTCTATTTTTTGTTCCATGCCTCTCCAATTTTGTCGAACGGATTGGGATCTACAAAAATTTAATCAGGCCCAAAAGGGCCCATGTAGGAAATCATCGAATCATCCTTGATCCTGCGTCTTCCTCAGTTCGATTCGACTGATACCCAACGAATTATAGAACAGTGAGAAGGAAGGAAGAAGAATGGGGAAACAATCGGGAGGGTGGTTTGGAATGCAGCAGAAAAAGAGTTGGCCATTAATGATTATGGTGCTCTTCTCACTGTCAGTAGCTATGGTTTTCTTCATTAGATCCACCTTCGATTCTTACTCTGTCAGCCCGAGCCCGGAGCTAGTGCTACACACTTCAAAAGAGAAGCCGGAGAGCACCGACGCTCAATTTAACCAAAATGCTGAATCAAAGAAACCGATTCCGCTCGATTTCATGAAGTCGAAGCTCGTTCTCTTGGTCTCTCACGAACTCTCCCTGTCTGGTGTTGCTTTGGATCATCTTTCAATTTCTTAGGCTGATTTCTTTTTGCTTATCTTCAAAGTGAAGGCAAACATAGTATAATGAATGTGCAGGTGGACATTTTAAGGATATGCGTATGCAACAAGGTAATAGGAGAGTGTAAGGACAGAGCAGAGCTCAAAGCCCTGCTACAGTCGCATACTCGCATGGCAATTACAATAAGAATGCCCTTACCTGAATGCTTGTCTTTACTTAATTCTCCGTCTCCAAGAGACCTGTTTCTTCAGAACACGCCACACTCATTTAATGCGGTCAGTCTGTTAACGCACATTACGCTCACCTAAGGCAAGCATGTCATATCATAATTATTGTGTTAAACAGGTCACGTGAATGCCCTTCAAGGCATACAAATAGTCCACACACAGCTAAAAAAGAGGTATGATGAAAAGCCAAAAAGAGAACTCTTTCAATACTTCCTCAAAAAAATGTAAACCGTGTTATTGCTAATTTTGGCATTGGAGTGTTGACCTCAAGAATCACTTTCGAGGCTTTGCAAGTTGATCCTACAAGAAAATTACAACAAGAGAGATCTTGAAGGTTTGCTGCATCAACAAAGAGGTTGTGAGTAAGTGCAATGATTTGCCAGCCTACACATTTGTAGTTATGGTCTATGGCTTCATTCCCTCTGCAAATCATAGTTTCATCTCTCAATTTGTTAAGAGATTTTTAGATGATACATTTGATGAACTGTATGGTTACTAGATATTTGTTCTGGGATTATGATATTAACTTCTCAATTGCTGATTTCCCACTTTGTCAGGTTTTCTCTGCAAAAGGTCAAAAGGCTATTGATACAGCTCTTAAAGCTGATTTGATCATTTTGAATACCGCAGTTGCTGGAAAGTGGTTGGAGGCTGTTGTCAAGGAAAATGTTCTGCAAGTCCTGCCCAAGGTTCTCTGGTGGATTCATGAAAAATCACCAGGACTGCTCTCCTATCTTGCGAAATTTTTTTGTAAATTGTACATTGTGTAACAGAAATTCGGTATATACAAAAGATGAGTTGAGGCTATTTTAGAAAGTATTGATGTTGAGTCTCCTTTTTTTTTTCTTTTTTTTGGGCCAAAAAAAGTCTATTTTTTGGAGGAAAAAAAAAAGGAAAAAGGAAGGCCACGTAGTCAATTACTATTTACAGTAGGCCAACCGAATGGGCTGATGAGGCTTTATTTAGCCCAAGGGTTAACTTGACCTAAAACCTAAAACCCAGTCCATTTTAAAGCTCATCTTTTAAACGGCGCCGCATGTTGTTGGCGGGCAAAAATGTAAAATCCTAATTCTTATTTTAAATCAATCAAACAAAAAAATCGTTATTTTAAAAATATTTTTATTTTCTACAAAAATAACGCATTCAGCTGTTCTACTTCTACCCCTTCGTCAAGACTCTAGGAATAATAGCATTATTTATAGGCAAAGCTAAAGCCTCTTCCTTCCGGAGACTGAAAAAAAGAGACGTGGTGACGGCCAGATTTCGATCTCTGAGCACGGATTCCGATCATGAACGACGGAGAAGATGCAGTTCGTCGCCGTACTGCAATCACAGATCACCGCAAGAAGCTTCTTCAGCAGAAAGAGCTCGAGTCCAGAGTTCGCTCAGGTCTCCTCGCCTTGCTCCTTTACCTAACCCTAATCGCTGTTTTTTCAGATGTTAACTCTTTTCGTTTTGAATAAATTCCGATGACTAATTTCCCTGTCAGGATTTAGGGTTTCTGCTTCTCGTTTTAGCTCGTTGCGGTTACATTATGTAGCGGTCTGTCTGTTTTACTTGGTTTTTTGGTATATTAGTTTCAAAATTTTAGTTTGGAGTATGCTTGGGCAGCGAAAGTAGTCGAGCAATCACAGGGATTTATTTTGGAAAGAATGATGGTTTTAGTTTCACCTGTATTTATTCTTAAGCAGAATAGAAATTAAAAGAAAAGGAGAACAGTAGCTAAATTAGCTGTTTGTATGCTCAATAGCCAATAACTAAATTTATTTTTCCGATTCAAATAAAGCAAAAGTTTATAATAAGCTACAATGACATGCTTATTGGTTGATGGATGAATGTGATTAATGCATCTAAAGCATTTGAATCTTGCTAGTGGTTCTGATGCATAACTTTAGTGGGTCATAAGAGTTAGTTGTTCCCATGTATATTGCAGTGAGGGAGAATCTAAGAGCTTCAAAGAAGGAATTCAACAAAACTGAAGATGACTTGAAGTCTCTCCAAAGTGTTGGACAGATTATTGGAGAAGTGTTGCGGCCTCTTGATAATGAACGCTGTAATCAGTTTTCCTTCATGTTTTATTTTCAGTTTTTCAGATAAATGCGTTTTCTTTCTGCCATTAATGCCTTAATTTTCTCTGCCCACCTTCCACGTTTGAATTACATGTGAGGAATATATAGTATTCCGGTTCGATTGTATGGACATGCATATGATATTCAGGCATTGGCTTGTTTCCAGTGATTGTTAAAGCAAGCAGTGGCCCTAGATATGTGGTTGGTTGCCGCAGCAAAGTAGATAAGGAGAAACTGACTTCAGGAACCCGAGTTGTTCTTGATATGACAACACTCACAATCATGCGAGCTCTTCCACGTGAGGTGGGTTATTATGGTAACATAGTTTTTTTTCCTTTGGTATTATCTTGAAGTATAAAGCAATGTTGCTGCATGGTGTCCAACATGTTTTACTGTTTTGGATGACAGGTTGATCCTGTAGTGTACAATATGTTGCATGAAGATCCTGGTAACATTAGCTATTCAGCTGTTGGTGGCTTATCTGATCAGATCAGAGAATTGAGGGAATCCATTGAGCTGCCTCTGATGAATCCTGAGCTCTTCCTCAGAGTTGGAATTAAACCTCCCAAGGTAATTAACACTCCTGCCCCCCTCTTATTTTCTCATATTTTTCTGTGTTTCAAGGGGTGTGCTGTTCTTGCATGGTTGACTGGAAGCACTTCCGTTTTCGTTCATCATATTTGGGCATAATGATGTTTGCATGAAGTTTGGTTGATGATCATCTGAAATTTATTTATTTATTTATTTTTCAGGGTGTTCTACTTTATGGGCCTCCTGGAACTGGCAAGACATTATTAGCTAGGGCAATTGCCAGTAACATTGATGCCAACTTCTTGAAGGTTATTTCTTTCCATATTCTCTCCCTTTTTGGTTTTCTATCCCTGTTATATTTACCTTACTGTATTCATCTCATCTGGATTCAGGTGGTTTCAAGTGCAATAATTGATAAATACATTGGGGAAAGTGCAAGGTTGATACGAGAAATGTTTGGATATGCACGTGATCACCAAGTGAGAGCCTAGAGTTTTCAATATATATTTTTTTTATTGGTTTTTCCTCCAACGATATGTATTCTTACTATTTGCTTCTGTTTGTTTAGCCCTGCATCATCTTTATGGATGAGATTGATGCCATTGGTGGACGCCGTTTCAGTGAGGGAACGAGTGCTGACCGTGAAATTCAGAGAACACTGATGGAGCTACTGAATCAGCTTGATGGATTTGATCAGCTGGGAAAGGTAATTCTGGTTTTCCTTTTGATTAAGCTAAAGATCATGTTAAAACAACATGCTGGGCTAGAAATCTTTATTATGTTAAATTATTTCTTTTAGGTTAAAATGATCATGGCAACAAACCGACCTGATGTTCTTGACCCTGCACTTCTTCGCCCTGGACGACTAGACAGAAAGATAGAGATTCCATTGCCAAATGAGCAATCAAGAATGGAAATTCTCAAGATTCATGCTGCAGGAATAGCAAAGCATGGAGATATTGACTATGAGGCTGTGGTCAAACTTGCTGAGGTTAGTTAATCAAAGCTTATGTTTCTTTCATGTATTGACCATCTGATTGCCTCATTGCCTATTCCTGTAATTTTTCAGGGCTTTAATGGAGCTGATCTACGTAATGTTTGCACTGAAGCTGGAATGTCAGCAATCCGTGCAGAACGTGATTATGTCATCCATGAAGATTTCATGAAGGTAAGATCCTTAGACAATCTTACTCACCCAACCAGGTCAAATATATTGCTTGTGCTGAACTTAGTTAAGAGAATAGATTATATTGTCTAGCGTGATGTGCTCACTTGTGCAATAAAATTGCAGGCCGTAAGAAAACTGAACGAGGCTAAGAAACTGGAATCTAGTGCACATTACAGTGCTGATTTTGGGAAAGACTAGAAAACTTTGCTTCTTCGTGGAGCCATGGAAAGCAGGGCAGTGCAACTATTTCAGACTTCATTAATCTGTTCTTTATTGTCAAAGATTGTTTTACTTAAATAAGTAAAACATCAACAAGCTGTATGGAATTTTTTTCCTGTTATTTAAGCTTTTCCAAGATGGTGGTTGCAGGTCTATTCAATTTATTCACACTTGTATCATACAGATTGAATGATTTCTTTATGTTCGACCTGAGTTTAGTTCTCTTTCTACCTCCTAATTTCTGGGGAATTACAGTGCCAACAATCAATCATGAAAGAAAACATGCCCCTGTGCAACAGACAAATGTGAGAAACGGGTAGTGGTTAGGATCCTAGTTATCAATATCATGATTTTACTCTAAAATTGTATGATTTTAAGTTTTTAAAAACTTAAATTATCAATGGCTTAAGTAATTCAGTGATTTATTTTTTTTCGTAGAAATAAACGTTTTTGAGTTCCAATCGTATAATATGTGAGTAAAATGAGATAAAATATGAAAGATGGTTGTCTCTCATTGATATCAAAAAAAGGGAAGATACTTAAATTGAGTTAAATCAAAGTAAAAATTGAAATTTTATAAATTCAAAGTAAATTTGTAATAAACTTGTAAAATAAAATAAAATTAGACAATTATAATTCTAAAAATTTTAAGATATTATTTTTTATATGTTAAACTAATAATATTTTATGAAATATATTTTTTAGATCAAAACTATTAAAATTTAAAACAATTTAATGATCATTAAATAAAAAAAATGTTCAACAAAGTCTTGATTGAAATAATTAATTAATAGTTAAGCATTCTTAGATGAATTTCAAATTTGAATATTTAATATTAAATTTTAATAATATTTTTTTATTTAATTTGATAAACTTTTAATTATACTAATTTTACGATCTGATCCCAATTTTACTTCCACTAAAACCATTTTAGCTAAATTCTTGATCTTAACAACCTAGCTCAGGAATGTTATCTTGGAAGGGTTCAACTTCAACTGTTGAAGGAATGGCGCAAGATTCATGAATCTTGACAGGGAACTCAATAGATTCCCCCGACAGATGCAATAAGTGTCTCCGTAACCCATCACAATTACAGTTAGCGACGCTCCAACAAGTTGACTAAAGAGAAGAAAGGTTGACTTGGGAACTGCAAGCATGTGAAATTCATTTTTCGCCCTTTTTCCATTAAGATCCAAGCAAGTCAAAAGTGAGAAATACTCAATTATAATTTAAAGATGACTCCTACACGAACAAGTAATGCTCATTCCACCATTCAGTGGAATCAAGCTCCAGAAAATACTAGAGTTCCTACAATATCCAACTTAAAGTTAAGATTCATCTTATTTCCCTGCAAAGTTACTGGTAAAGTTTTATTGTAGACCAATTCAAAGTTGGTTGCAGGCTCAAGCCTTAACCAAAACAGGCCACAAAAAATCACTAGTGGCTCAAGTGATTCAGTGCGTCAAGGTGGCTTCTGTACGATGGCCACGCAGCTGATGGTATTACCTAAAAGGAGGTGCGGGATCTGTAACTATAGGGAAGTGAGATTAGAGATTGTGTTGAAAGCTTCAATGGGAGATCATTGCAGTCTTCCCTGCGATACATGTATTTGCAGCTTTTCTATTGAACCCTTGGAAGGAAATGTAACCAGAAGCATGCTTGCTGATAATAAGAGGCACTCACTCCATATCTCACTGGTATGGCAGGGAACTTAATCTTTCCAATATCTGGCCCAGAAACCCTTCTTCCTCGCAGAATCATTCTCCAACAGGGATCTACCCCACTTGGATCCAATTGAGAAGTGCCGTTTCAGGAAGGGCTTTGCTAAGGAGTTTCTTGTGCTGGAACTTGGTTCTAACTTTGGAGCTTTACCTTCTAGTTTGGCATTTCTTCGGTGATGGAGATCATCACAATCACCATCAACATAACCATGCACAACCCTATTCTTCAACATCTTAAGACTTTTCAACTTGAACTCTGCTTCTTTTATAGCCTTTTTAGACATCTTCAAGACCTGCTTTTCTCCAACCATGCATATTGGGCATGGTGGGTCATATCTGTCAGCCTCAGATGTCATGATCTCCAAGCATTCAGCATGGTAAGCATGTCCACAGACAAGTACAGAAACCACTGAGAGCTCATTGCTTGCCCATGATGATCTCTCTGTCAAGAGCTTCGAGCAAGCCCCACACATTTGCAGATCCATGGATGGAGAATATGAGAACATGCTGCTACATCCACTTATCTTGCCATGACCAGAACCGAAATGTTCACTGTCAAAAGACCACCTTTCTCTTTGTGAAGAGGCTACAAGCTCAGAAAAAGTGCGCATGGACCAGCCATCAGAACCATGCGATCCAGCCATTAGGTCATTGCTGCATGCTGATAATACAAAAGATGGTCTTCCTTCAGATAATGAGCAGTTGTTTGGTGATCTCAATCCAAGGATTCGACTATCAGAAACCTGCCTCAACAACCGATGACCAGGTGAATGGCGAGCCCGTCTGGAAGGTGTTGAGTTTGGAGGATGTAGACGAGTACGCGAGGTATCCGTAACTGGTGGCGAGAATGATGAAGTCATTGGAAATGATAGCTTTGGGGCAGATGAACCTGCATTATCTGGTGATTCTGCCAAGTTCCTTACCTGGAAGATGATCAGAATATGGAAGTTAGCTATCAAAAAGAACAAGGAAATGTCAAGCATCAACAAATAAAATAAAACAGAGAGGTAAATAAGTTTCTCTGATGAATAAAGTCTCCCCTAATTCAGGCTTACCTCTGTAGAATAATTGCTGGCTGTAGATATTTCTGCAGCAAGAATAGAGGAAAAATCAAAAAATAAAATAAAATAAAACAGCTGTAGCTACAAAAAGACTTCAGCTGTAATCCATATTACTTAAAGCAGCAAGAGACAACATAGAAAATAAAGCAGATGAAAGAGCACAGATAAATAAATCTAAAGTTTGATAAGGTATGACCTGATTCAACATCTGGATTGTCATGTTGAGTTGACCACATTTTTGCGAACAATATTACACAAAAGTGATAATTTAGATCTTGTTTGTTTTCAGTGTGATAGGTCTCAGAAGCCCATTTGTGATAAGTTGAGAAAATTTAAAGGAACATGAGGGATCAAAAGAGATGCTATAGATCCAGTAAAACTTTCTGATAAAATTCACACATGCTCAAGATAGTCTGACAGGAAAACATATGACGATTTACCATTGAAATTGACAAAGGTATACCTGAACGAGGAGTCAATAAATTCCTGCCTACTTCTTCATGGACTGGTGATTTTTGAGAGGTGGGTGTTCCATAGTTCTGGAGCGGACTTCCCTGATCAGAAAGATTGCCTCTGCCAGAGCCCAGAGCACCTTTTATCTCCATACTAACATCCCTGCTGATTCCATGGGACACCAGATATGAAGGCTCCTCAATTTCACCAGCCACACGCCTTCGATTATCCCATCGGAAACTCCATGATGGAGAACATGTTATGTTCCTGTTTGAATGCTGACTTTGAGTTCTGCTGGGAATTGTTCTGTCTCTTGAAGCAACACAACATGCTGACCCCATGATCACTCATATACTCAGAGACTCTTTTTCAAGAACTTAAATAAACTATACAAGCTACAGACACCTCAATAAAAGCACTGCATAGAAAAAGATAGAGAGAGAGAAAAAACACAAATTTCAGAATTTACCATAAATAATTGAAAGAAGTTAAAACAAAGTAACAATGAACAAAAAGATAATCGTTACACTCCCAGAAAAGGAAAATATTTGGATCTCTCAAAAAGAGAGGAGGCAATTGATTTTGTTTAATTGACTAGAAAATTAAGTTCCTTTTGATGGCCACTTAGACAGCTTTCATTTCATTAACCCCCTCCAAAAAAAAGAAAAAAATATCTACTATCAAAATGATGCTGAAACAAGCTAACTGAATTGAAAACATAAAAGGATTTTTCTAACCTGTGCCCTAAGGGCACATGTTAGAAAAACCCAACATAAAATTACCAATGTAAAGGCAAGCTGGGATTTATTAGGAAATCAAACTCTACAGGTTACATTGATAAAGAAAAACTGATTAGATAAGAAAACTTTCCTAAAATTCATCAAACCAGAACCTAAGTAGTTAGTTGCCCATGGTAGCATGCATTTGGTTGGAATCTTTTCTTAAAATGATGCAAACATTAACAACAGCCAAAAAAAAAGATAAAAAAACTTGACTAAAAACAGAGCTCTTGCCGTAACAGAAAGAAATCCACATAACAAATTTTTAATTTTTTTGTCCCTCAATTGACAATAGGTTAAGATTTCCAAAAATTAGAGAGAGAAATAATGCAAATTAAAATATTCATATCATAGAAGGAATCATGCTACAGTCTACACTCATAGATTGTGTGACTTCATAACTGCGTGCGTAAGTCAATAGCTACTTGAAAGCAGAATCTGGTAAAAAGAAAGGCAAAATCCAGAAATTAATCGCCTTGAATGAAAGACTTTACATCAAATTCAAGGAAAACGCTTCAACAATACATAAAACCTGAGGTTCGAAGCTGCTAGCTTCTGCAATCAATTTCCTAAAGTCATCAGAACAACCAACCTAGCCTCCGGTGGGGAGAAGTAGCAAAAATACAATAAAAAAGCGCCAGAATTCTAACCGTTATAAGAATCAGAACCTCACAGACGACGACGACGACGACGAGAGGGAGGGAGAAGGCTCCACTCGGACGGAGGAAGAGGTTCGAACGGCGAAGGGAATAAAGAACGGATAGAAGGGACGGTGACGGCGACGACGGAGGGAATGAGGAAAAGATGTGTATGAGACTATGAGTCAAGGGGCAATGTATAGGGAATTGTGCCACGTTCACTGTGCTGCTTTTTGCACTCTTTTCTCTCCCCCGGCTCTCCTTTACTTTTGATTAAATGCTAAATTTGGTTCCTCAACTTTAGTGAGTTGCACATTTTTGGTCCCTCAACAATTTTTTGCATTTTTTTGATCCCTCAACTATACAAAATGCACTCCGTTAATTCTTCTGTCAATTTGGACCGTTAACTTGACCACAAGGCATTTTTTATATTTTTTTATGACATGGCAAGCACAACTTAAAAAGATGCTTATCTGGACTTTTTTTTTTTTTTTATGACACGTCATCTTCTTCATGCCAAACTCGTCCAATGAATTCCAGTTGCCTGCAAATTGGTCTCTCATCTTCACCCTCTGCAAAATCGATCTTAACCCATTTCTTCTTATTCTCTGAATGCTCTCTCATCTCCACTCCATCTGCAAAATCGATCTTAACCCATTTCTTCTTCTTCCGTGAATGCTCTCTCATCTCCACTCAATCTATAAAACTGATCTTAACCCACCCATTTCTTCTTCTTCTCTTTTCTTAGGGAAACTTGAGCTACTAGGTTTCATTGAAATCTCAAACCTGGCAGATCTTACCAAATCAAAATAACCCTTCAATAAACAATACCAATCAAACTCTAATCGAATTTTAACAAAAATACAATCAAACTTTAATCAAATTCCAACAAAAATGCAATCAAATTATAAATCAATCTCCAAATATATTAACAACTGAAAATGGAAATC